GGGATACCACCACTACATCTGACTGTTTACAATTTAGAAATATAAAAATGTCCTTCTAGTACCTTGACAATTAAAAGTAGATAATCCATACGAAATCGACTCTAAAAATGTCCATTCGGATTTCAGCAAATATAAGAATATTTCAATCTACGAGGGTACTCGCAATTGTTGAAAAACGGTAATTCCTGGGAAACAGAAATACGGGGGAACTTTTACATGTTTTCAGGCGGGAATTAATTGAAATATACATTTTTAAAATGAATTAAAAATAAAATTTAGTGACTTCGTCACAACATTATGGGAACATTTTTAGAGAGATTTGTAGATACCAACTGTCAAAGAAGAGATCAAGAACTTTGCATGGAAACACGGAAGAAGATTCTGCGTAATAAAAAAACAATTGTTTTTTTATTACAACTGACTCCTTGACATTCCATTTAGGTGTGCCTGATGATGAAGTGATAGCTTCGAAACCGGTCGCCAATTAAATTGACTTGTGAGAAATAAAGGACCTTTTCTTTAACCCTTACACTTAATCCCTACTACTCACATATGGCTACCCTCACTCCAAAAGGAATGTTCTTTGATTAGGTCTGTCACTACCGATTTTGTCAGGCCAGTAGAAGGGCCAGGTTCAAAAAGTATTTGGTTGGCTGCTTTCTTGGCTGGTGAAACAGCAAGACGGTTACCTTTCGATGTGGCGTGACCTTTAATCTATCTTAAGGTGATCACGTTGTTGATGGATACTCCGGCCAAAGCTTCGTGACATTCTAGTACTAACCCTGAATAAATTTGTGGTCTATTCAGGGTGAGTAGGGCTTGTCTGCTATCTGTATAGATGAGCATGTTCCTTCCAGTGATAATGTTTCTGGTTATTTCTTTTTCTGCTATGAGAATCCCCGTTAGCTCTGTTTGAACTACACTGGAACTATTGCTCACAGTCCATTTTATGTTTAGGTTTAAGAATCTGGAGTATATTCCACATCCTGAGCCTTGTTTTGTTTTAGAATCGTCGGTGTAGATATGAATCGTACCTGCCACTTCCGGCTATTCTATTTGTTCTATTATAACTATATATGGCTTATGAAAGATATATTTCGGTGAGATGGAGTCCATGTTCGCTTGAAGCAGTGGGAGCATATCCAGTGCCTCCTGCCAAAAGTGACGGCTCGCCTCACCAGATTCTACATCAGGTTCTATTCCGACCTTGCGGAGGCGTGCCATTGTTGTCAGAGCAACCTCCTTGATGTAAATATCAAGGGGAGTGAGACTAAGAATGATTAATAGAAAATAATTGATAAATTAAAAATAATCGATTAATCGAAAACAATCGAGTAATCGATTAATCGAAAATAATCGATTAATCGAAAATAAGCGATTATTTGAAAAGAATCGAATACTTGAAAATAGTCGGTTATCGATTAAAAAATATATAATATTCGATTAATCGGTTATTTTGTCCACTTCTAGTTGAAATATTGAAAACAAATCCTAATTCAGATACGAAAAACGATATTAAAATAAAATCTATTTTTTCTGAAAAGAAAAACTAACTAAAAATAAGGGGTTAAAGGGGTTGAAATATTTAAAAAAATCCTAACTCAAAAACGAAAAACATTATCAACTTAAAATTTTTAGCAAAAATCAAGCTCCATATGGGGACAAATCCTATTATTAAAAAAAAAAAAAAGATAAATAAAATGGAGGGTTAAAATAACAAAAAAAAGAAATCAAATACCAAAAGCAATATTAACATGAAATCTTCAGAAAAAATCAAGCTTTCTAAGGGGATATAGCCTATTGATTCTGAAAAAAATGTGAATAAAAATGAGGGATTCAGGATAGCAGAGTCTGTGAAGAGTATAAAATACCAAGCATTATATTATCTTCATTCTACTGTAATTTCTTAGGTTCTGTGCTATAACTCAATTGGTGAAGTAATATGTGGCGCTTGTCAGGACTTTCTTGTACAGCGGCGTAACCATTATGTTGCCGGAGAGGCTAGCTGCGAGACTATTTTGCATTCTCGTTCTCACAGCAGTTAAGCTGTGATGTCTCCGGTCATGTCTTGGATGGGTTTCCACTGGACCGATTAGCGGTTAACCGTCGATGACGTGGAATTAATAAATGTATGATAAGTGGGAAGGAGTAGGGCATCCAATTGGTGGAAAAATAGGATATCTGGGCTTCAGTGCCACCATGCGAACCCCAAAAGGAGGGAAAGCAGACTGGATTCCAAGTATTTTTGAGGGGAGCGAGTGGCTGGACTCAAGCCTGATTGAAGGGAGTTTGCCAGAATTCCTAAGGGGAAGCAGAGGGATGTCTGAAAGGATAAAAAAACAGTTTTTATTTTTTCTGATAAAAAAGCTCTGTTTTTTTAACTCAAAATTACTTTCTTAGATCGTGCGCGCTCTCAACAACCATGTCGCGACAGAGATATCGTCACGACTAAGACATATATGAGACTGTGATCGTGTCCAATATCATGCAACCAATTTTCTTAGTTTTAAAATAAATATCGAGCAAGTTGCAGCTTCTTTGTATTGAAGAGTCATCAGTGCATTACCTCTCACCTACCAGGATGTATCCTGTTGATCGCGGCATTTTACTGGCTGTATGTACGTCGTGCAGGTTTTCGTCAATGAACATGAATGGTTTTGATTGCCCAGGGCGTGTAAGTAAATTTTGAAAAAAATATTTTAAGTTGTTTTTGATTTATGGCAATTTTATTCCTCTTTGAAACCTAGCCATTAAAGCCCATATATCCAATTTTATCAATGAACGAGAGGTCTCATCTGTAGAGCGTTGTCTGTCGAATATCGCAACAACATGCAAAATACTATTTTAATTTTAGGGCAGAAATTAAAGAAGTCCTACTTCATTCCTACGTCATAGGAATCATATACTCTTTCGAAATCTTTGTATCCAGAACTTCTGTCTTCTTGAGTATCCTAGGATTTGTTCTTTTAGGCAACTACGTTACCGCTGAAAAAGTATTTGTCGTTACAGCAATTTATAATTGCTTACGACCAACAATTACAATGATGTTCTCACTAAGCATAAGTGCAGTAGCAGCAATTAATATATCGGTGATAAGGATCCATAGTATTCTTGAATTTGACGAATTTAAAAAACCAGAGCTCGGACACGTTCTAAGCTACCTTTCATATGAAAAACCTAGAAGACCTGAAAATCCTAAATACCCTAGAACAGGAGTGGTGTTTGAGAACGTGTGTGCTAAATGGATAGACGATACTAGCGAGGATACGTTAATTAATGTCAGCTTTAGTGTAACATCACAAACGTTGTTTGCTATAGTTGGACCTGTGGGTGGAGGTAAGAGCAGTATTTTCAGTGTTATTTTAAGAGAATTGCCTGTGAAATCTGGAATTATGGAAGTTGTTGGGACAATATCGTATTCTTCACAAGAACCGTGGCTATTTTCAGGAACTGTTAGGGATAATATACTATTTGGCGAAAAATTTAATTCTATAAGGTATGTATCAATTTTCTTTTAATTTTTTTGTTTTATAATATCTAATTAACTTTGCAATATTAATTATTTATAGACTACAAGACGGAGAGAAAAAATTTAGGAGTAGTGATTTACCCACCATTTAACTGTATAGTTTAAATACTACTGTAGGATTAGGCGCTATACCATCAATTCTTCATGACAAATGGGGTCTCAGTGGAAAACTATCCAGAACCAATTTTTTTATTAAATAAAAATAGACCCAATTTCTTACGAATATAGTTAATCTAAATCTTCTGCCGTACAAAAATAATGGTTGCAGAGAGTATAATTGAAATTTTCAATTTTACAACTACCATAAAAGTATTTTTAAAAGATGATTACATGAGATTTCAGTTAATATATCCATTTCTATACTCTTCACACAGTAGTCTGTAAAGAGTATTATGCTTTTGGTTCCGTCCGTCCGTCCGATATCACGTTTTTTGTCAAAAACGAAAAAATATATTAGATATAAAGAAAAAAAAAAATCAAGCTCTATAAGAGGCCGAAGCCTATTGATTTTGAAAAGACGGTTGAAATTTAAAAAAAAATCCTAACTCAAAAACAAAAAATGATTGACTTTTTAGCAAAAATCAAGGTCTATCTGGAAAAGAACTTTAATTTAGAAAAAAGTCTGATTTAAAATGAATAAAAAGACGATATCAACAAGACATTTTTAGCAAAGCTTAAGCTTTATAAGGGGAAGAAGCCCTTTAATTTTGTAAAATCTGATTAACATTTGGGGGTTTACAGAGCGTTGAATTAAAAAAATCACAAATCAAAAATGAAAAACGATATTCAACATGGAATTTTTAATTAAAATCAAGCTCTATATATGGAGATGAAGCCTGACAAAAAAATTTGAATAAAAATGAGAGGTTAAGGGGGATTGAAATATTTAAAAACAGTCTAACTCAAAAACGATTAATAATATCAAGTTAAAATTTTGGGCAAAAGGCATGCCCTTTGACGGATTCAACCAAAAGCGATATCAACCTCAATTGTTTAAAAGCTCTAGGGGAGAATGAATGAATGAATGAATGAATGAATGAATGAATGAATGAATGAATGAATGAATGAATGAATGAATGAATGAATGAATGAATGAATGAATGAATGAATGAATGAATGAATGAATGAATGAATGAATGAATGAATGAATGAATGAATGAATGAATGAATGAATGAATGAATGAATGAATGAATGAATGAATGAATGAATGAACGAACGAACGAACGAACGAACGAACGAACGAACGAACGAACGAACGAACGAACGAACGAACGAACGAACGAACGAACGAACGAACGAACGAACGAACGAACGAACGAACGAACGAACGAACGAACGAACGAACGAAAGAATGAATGAATGAATGAATGAATGAATGAATGAATGAATGAATGAATGAATGAATGAATGAATGAATGAATGAATGAATGAATGAATGAATGAATGAATGAATGAATGAATGAATGAATGAATGAATGAATGAATGAATGAATGAATGAATGAATGAATGAATGAATGAATGAATGAATGAATGAATGAATGAATGAATGAATGAATGAATGAATGAATGAATGAATGAATGAATGAATGAATGAATGAATGAATGAATGAATAAATGAATGAATGAATGAATGAATGAATGAATGAATGAATGAATGAATGAATGAATGAATGAATGAATGAATGAATAAACGAACGAACGAACGAACGAACGAACGAACGAACGAACGAACGAACGAACGAACGAACGAACGAACGAACGAACGAACGAACGAACGAACGAACGAACGAACGAATGAACGAACGAACGAACGAACGAACGAACGAACGAACGAACGAACGAACGAACGAACGAACGAACGAAAGAACGAATGAATGAATGAATGAATGAATGAATGAATGAATGAATGAATGAATGAATGAATGAATGAATGAATGAATGAATGAATGAATGAATGAATGAATGAATGAATGAATGAATGAATGAATGAATGAATGAATGAATGAATGAATGAATGAATGAATGAATGAATGAATGAATGAATGAATGAATGAATGAATGAATGAATGAATGAATGAATGAATGAATGAATGAATGAATGAATCAGAAATAGTGGAATCCAGGATTGAGACGGGCCGAAGAGTTCATTAATAGTTGATTTTATTTGTTGCACTAGATGTAAATTTTCTGCACTAATAGCATTTGATTTGTTCAGTGTAGCTTTAAATATTTGACAGTAGCACACGTGTAGCATATTCTTTTCACAAGTTTGACAGTTCGAATAGAGTGTCAAGTGTGACACTAGTGCAGCAAATAAAATCCATTATAAGAAACAATTGGCCAACTTAACAAAAAATATCTACTGGATAAAAAACGATAAATCGGTAGGATTCTTCTCGCCAGACACTGTCGCCTAAGAAGGCACATGTTACAAAAGAGACAGATGTCTTGGAAAATAAATATTTATTCAGTGAATAAGAGATCACAATATTAATATTGGTTTTCTATCCACCCGCGTTGCTAAACCTAAAAATAATAGACGATTATTATATTATCAATAACTAATTAGGAATATACACCTTACTAATGAATTTGATTCTATTATTCTTTGATCGCATTGTAGGTATTTACATTAATAGTTGAAGTTGTAATCCTAAAAATAACAGAATTTATAAGTCAAATTAAATACATCACGATGAATAAAATGTCTCCAACAAAATAATATTGAAATATAACTATTTACCCTATTAAAATATTTTAGAGAAATATAGTAAGGATAGATTCTCTTAAAATATTTATTATTTTCTATTTGTTTATTTTTGTCATGTCAAAGTTATTCTCTTGTCATCAATCAATTATATAAATTCTCTTCTTTTTAAATGGTTATCATTATTTAAAATTCCACTAAGGTACAACAATCAGTAAAATTTACATATTTTATCTGGACATAAACTGACCACTAACAACTTTTTTATAATTCTTTTTTATCTCACCTTCTTCAATAAAATGGCTTCTTCCTGAACCACCTGGGTTTTTGGATTTCATATTTACGGATTTGTTTAGCCATTATTTAAATTATCCTTTAATTATTTCTTGCAAGTAGCTCACAGTTAGTTGAGATACATATTGTGTGGATTTATCACTTGCAAAAGAAAGGCCCCTAAAATCTGTGGTAAGTTCAACCTGTCCATGTTTTACTGAAATCATATACCAATAACGTCGTTCTCTTGTAGGCCTTTATTTATTTAGGATTTAATCACTTAATTAAGTATTTGTCAATTAACTTACCCCTTTGAGGATCGATCAATTTTGTGGATGTATATCGACCCAACTAGAGCTCTCGATTTCCTACCAATATTTAGTTTACCTATCAGAGAACTACAGGCCAGGAATTCATCTGCAGCCCCTTCTGAGGCTTTGCCCCTCCAGGAGCCATCAACCATCATTTCAGAGTTCTGAAATATATCCAGTTTTGGAAGCGAGATACCTAGAATTAGTAACACGAAATACCATCCAGCCTACAAGTAAGGACTATCTTTCTCCTAATTTATACTACAGTGAAAGTAGTAGGTACTCAGCACTCATAACTTGCTACCTAAGAAATATAAAATATCAGATACAATTCAATCATAAATATATCTAAACTTACTATATTCTTGTGGAGAGGGAACATCAGGCAAATATTGTACCCATTATAACTCATGACGAACTTAAGTAACTGTTTGTAGAGATTATAACGTCAGGGTAAGACTGTGCATACCAACCAAATTTACTAAAAGAGATAACTTATCAACAGAATATACTTTTATTACCCACCCAACTCTCCGATTACCAATTTTATGAGCTACCTAGAATTAATATAGCTGTCACCCCTTCTATCAATAGGAATACCCCTTTTTAAGAGTATCACACATGAGTGTCATCAATCTAACAGAAGAAGCAACACTGTGCAGGTTCTATGAAGAAGAAAATGAAATAGCAATCCACATCTTGTGGCAGTATAAAGTCTAATAAAAAACACTATTATAATGCTAATATATATTTAAAAATAATTATGACAGGAATGTAAATAAACACGAATTTTTAAAATAGTGTATTTAAACCTTTTCTTTGCAGATACAAACAGGTGCTACAAGTATGTGCTTTGAAACGCGATCTTGCTACACTTCCCTTTGGAGACAGGACTTTGGTTGGTGAACGTGGCAAAGCCCTTAGCGGTGGTCAAAAAGCTAGAGTCAGTCTAGCCAGATGCGTTTACAAAGTAGCCGATATTTATCTATTAGATGACCCTTTATCAGCTGTCGATGCGACTGTTGGAAAACACATATACGAACAATGTATACAGTCGTTCTTATCAGAAGTTATTTGCATATTAGTTACCCATCAACTTCAGTTTCTTAAAGATGCCGAACAAATAATGATCATTGATGATGGGGAAGTACAAGTAATCGGAACTTATGATGAATTACAGAAAAGGTAAGCATAAAAATATGTAGAATGACTTAACGTTAATAGCTATTTATGAAACCAGTTACGAAATGTCTTATTTTATGTAACTAGTGAAACTGGTGCGGGACGAGCAGGGCCAAAATGAACGAGTTTTACAAAATGGCATTTCGTAACGTGTTAAAGAAAATTAATTTTTTATAATTTTGACTAGATTATTTATAAAATTGTTTTTGGTAAAAAATTACGGACATCCATGCAACCAATATTACTTTCTTGTATTGTTAGTTACATATACATCTATGTATTTTATTGTATTGTTAGTGGAATAACTTCATTGATTTTATTGACAAATAAAAAATAATATAATATATTCTTAAATACTTGTTGTAGTGTGTTTATATTGCTTTTAATTTAGTTTTCAAGAAAGTGGGTTATTTTGTCGTGTATTGTGTCGATTATTTTGTGCAGATTTGGAATATAAAATAAGGACTTAAACAGAATTATTACCAGCTTGTAAGCTTGCTTTCTTTAATTAAATAACAATACAGGGTGTCCCGAAATTAGACAGTCATATTTTAACAGCGTAATCTACATCCTAAAATAAGAGTAAAAGTTTATATAAACATAGGTCCGAAAACGTTTCTTTTCCGAGATACAGGGTGTTAAAAGTGAAGTCCTGATGACACATTTTTGTAAATATTTTCTAAACACTTAAAGATAACTAAATAAAATTTGGTACAAATGCTTACCGTTTTACGCTCTATATAATGGAGTAAATCTTAGTTTTTGTTCATCTTCATAGATGGGTAAATTAGGGGGGGGCTTAAGGTAAAATTGCCCTAAGTTTTGTTGTTGTCAGTTTTTAACATTTTTGACTAAAAAATTTGGAAACCCAATGTTTTTTTTACAATAAAGCTACTCTTGCTGCATCTCGCTAGGACGCACAATTTTCAAGAGAAAAGCATTTGAAAATTTCATGATAAGTTCATATTATCTTATTCGAAAGTGTAAACAAAAATTAGTAGGCCTGGAATACAATAGCTGCTTTTCAATTTTTTGAGACGCTGTGATAAACAAAAATTGGCTGTCAATTGTGTAATTATTTGTACTTTTTTGCGTGAAAGAAAAATACTTCTAATAAATGGAGAAATTTTCAAATAGAGAATTGCCAGATATTCATTTTGTATATGGTTTGTGTAATGGAAGGGCAAGAGCAGCGGTACGAGCATACCGTAGACGGTTTCCTAACCGAAGAATTTCTGACTACCGTGTATTTATTAATACACATAGAAATTTGGTTGACCATGGTTCATTTCAACGTGATCGTGGACAAGGGAGACCACATGGGAACAACAATTTGGAACACGCCCTTAATTTATTTGAAGAGGACCCAAGAAGGAGTATTCGAACTGTTTTCACCCTTTCAGAAATACCACGAGCAATAGTAAGTAATAATTACGTCCCTTTTTCTTTATACTATTTTATGATTCTTAGTTTTTATTGCTCAAACTTACAAGTACAAGTATTAGAAATTAAAAATTTAAACAAACCGACTTCAAAAACATGTAGATGCCATCACCACACCTTAACCAAATTTATATGGGACTACCCCTGAGGTATCCCCTTACCAACAAAAAAATAATCATATAAATCGGACAAGGTGGTAAAGCATTATCGCTAAACATACATAAAAAATGAAGAGTTTGAGGATTTTCTCATAGACCCAATTATTAGATTTTGACCAAATTTATACGGGACCACTCCTGAAGTACCCCCTTTCTAACAAAAAAAGAATTATTGAAATCGGACACCGTTTAAAGAATTATCGCTGAACATACATACATAAAAAAAATATCGCGACGAATTGAGAACCTCCTCCTTTTTTGAAGTCGGTTAAAAATAACACGAACAAGTTTCAGATTAAAGGCATTTCTAAATTCTTACTTTAGTTTATGTGTCTTTTAAAAAATATGTTCATTTAGGTTGGAAAAATGTTAAGAATGCAGGGTATTCATCTCTATCATTATCAGCGTGTTCAAGCCTTAAGACCCCACGACTTTTTACCACGAATAGAGTTTAGTGAATGGATAAGAAACCATCAGGAACTGCTTCTTTTAATTATGTGGAGCGACGAGGCTACATTTAATAGAGATGGTATTTTTAATATTCACAATCACCATTTTTATTCACAAGAAAATCCTAGGGTGGTGCGACATCGATTTTTTCAAGAAAGATTTTCTATTAATGTTTGGGCGGCAGTAATCAATGACAGATTAATTGGGCCGATTGAAATTCCTGCTCGGTTAAATTCAATTGAGTATCTGAATTTTTTACAAACTCACCTTGAACCCATTCTGGATAATCTCCCATTAAATATTCGACATCAGCTGCACTTTAAGCACGACGAAGCGCCAGCCGATTATAGCGTTAATGTGAGAAATTGGCTAAATGAAAGATTTCCGGGTAGATGGATAGGAAGAGGTGTTCCCATACCGTGGCCACCTCGATCTCCGGATTTAAACCCATAAGATTATTACTTTTGGGGTCGTATAAAAGATATGGTATATGCTACAGAAGTTGACAGTGAGGAAGAGTTGCGTGAAAGGATACGTTTGGCAGGGAATGAAATACGGCAAAATAATTTTAAAGTAATGCGAGCTTCACATGCAATTACCCGTAGAGCCGAAATGTACCTTCGTCAGCAAGGCAACGTTTTTGAACTTTTACTTTAACTGTTGTATAAATTGATATTTTTAGTAGAATTTTTGTTATTTTTAGTAGAATTTTTGTTATTTTTAGTAGAATTTTTGTTATTTTTAGTAGAATTTTTGTTATTTTTAGTAGAATTTTTAGTAGTATAGACAAAAACAATTTTTGAGAATCATTTGTTTATCGTCGTCATTTTAACCTATTTTAAGTCATCCTTAGGAAAATAAAAGTAGATACTTCACGTTAAAAAACTTAAAATTATTATCAAATAGCATTTGCAATAATTAAAAGTAGGTAACTAATGATTTCTTCTCTAACTCAGTCAAACTTCATATTTTCAAGAAATTACTATTCTTAATTTCAAATACAGTTTTGCTATAATTTTACGATATTTAATGTATCTGATTTATTTTTACCATCCTAAGGATTACCCTAAAAGAGTTTAAACGTCGGCAGTTAAAGAAATAAATTCCCATCAATCATTTTATTGGGCAAAAGCCAACCAAACCATTAAAAAAAAAACAATTGATTAGTTTAAGTTTAAATACTATTAAGTTTTACCATTTAAAGTTTCTTTATAAAATAAACATTAAATTAAAGCTAAATAAATTTCTTTAGTCACCGGTTTTCCAAACCTGAAAAAAAAATTCTGATTCCACAGGCCTGCTAATTATTGTTTGCACTTTCGAATAAAATAATATGAACTCATCATAAAATTTTCAAATGCTTTTTTCTTGAAAATGGTGCGTCCTAGCGAGATGCAGCTAGAGTAGCTTTATTGTAAAGAAAACATTGGGTTTCCAAATTTTTTAGTCAAAAATGTTAAAAACTGACAACAAAAAAACTTAGGGCAATTTTACCTTAAGCCCCCCCCCCTAATTTACCCATCTATGAAGGTAATCAAAAACTAAGATTTAGTCCATTACATAGAAAATAAAAAGGTAAGCATTTGTACCAAATTTAATTTAGTTATCTTTAAGCGTTTAGAAAATATTTACAAAAATGTGTCATCAGGACTTCACTTTTAACACCCTGTATCTCGGAAAAGAAACGTTTTCGGACCTATGTTTATATGAACTTTTACTCCTATTTTAGGATGTAGATTACGCTGTTAAAATATGACCGTCTTATTTCGGGACACCCTGTATATACAGTATCGGCTATTAAACGCTTTCCAATATTCTTTGCTAATGAGAAAGCTAAATCTATAAAGAGTTTTATATTTTATAAATTAGTAAAAGTAATAAATTATTTTTAACTTAGTTATCTTATTTTAAATTAATTTTTAAAATTTGTAGATTTTTGTAAGTGGATCGTAGAAAAAATATGCTTTAAAACTCGATTGGAATGTCCGTATCGCCATGTGGGCATCATACTCACTCTTGTTACACAAACTACTATTTGAAAACTAAAATATTGTGCTTGTGACAAAGTGAATAGAAGTTTTTGGGAAGTAAATTGTGCCAAATTAAAAATAATGTTTAATGTTTAATGTTCAAATACACCTTAACCGTCAAGAACAAAGTGAGTATCTAAAACTATGATACTTAAATGTGGAATATATCGCACTTCAGGGGTAGAGTATGAGCTATAAGGGGTCCATGTGAGCCAAAAATAAGAATTCGGGGTTGTGATAAAATATGTAAACGGAGGTCCACGTTAGTCGATCTCGTTTAAGCAGGTCACGACTTTAATTTTGACTTTCCATTAATGAAATAACCCACACACAAAGATGATTTGTTGATTAGATTTTACCTAAAAACATAACATATCGACGATGATTAGCACTAAATTGTACTTTTGTAGATTTTGTAAACAAACTTATTTGCACAATTTTATAATATTAATTAATAATAAATCTCATAAAATTGTGTTAGTTTAGTAGGATATTCGCTTTGTGGTTGCAATAAACTTTGAACTTGTAGAAAGTTACACATATACATGCTACTAATATCAGATTTAACTAAATTATATGTAATTTCATTAAATTATATGTAATACTTTTCAATAAATTCCAAAACCTAAAGTCTATTCAAATTTAATTTACGCCTGATATAAACAGAAGCAGGTGGACGCTAAAATTGAGCAGGGCCGTATTTTACTTTTCCGTCTTGCAAAAATGTAAAATAAAAGAGTGTAATTGTGAAATTATTTTTTTATTACGATAAAAACATATTTTGTAAACTAAAACAATAAAATAAATGCCATACACGGTCTCCCAGACTTTAGTGACATTTCTGGACGAAGATAGGTGAGCGACATAAACTGCGTTAACCTGCAATACAAATTAATAAATGTATTTGACTTTGAAAGAGATGTTTGTATTATATTTAGTTCAATACATATGTCTACTGTGATACAGAGCATTAAAACAATCATATTATAAAATTATATTACACAGGGTGTCCAAATAATTGCAAATTCTTTAATAGCTAATATATATTTACTAAAAGCATTAAAAAAACTTTAAATATAAGAGGTATGTGGTATTTGAACTTGGTATTTGATTTAAAATTGTGCCTCTTAAAAAGAAACCTTTTGTAGTTTTGACAACTTTTGTTCTTTATCGTTCTTGTTCTACTAGTATTTAGATTAGACACCTTGTACCCTGTATTATAGCAATCTTCCTTACTTGACTTAGCACTATTCTGAATTGGATAAATTAATTAGACTTGAAGGGCTATCTTCATTAATCAAAATTACAAGTGGTTCTACCTGAACCTCTATAATATTATTCAACTCCCACATTTTTACTTCAACTTTTTGGCGAACATGGTCGATACACTTTTTACATTTTTCTGGAAGAAGAATTTTAATGTCTCCAGATTTAAATGTTGAGTTTTTATCTGCTACGTATTGTTTAACGTCAACCTAGATTAATTCAATAGGGTTAAGTTCACAATGATACGGAGACAGATGAAGTATTATGTTGTTTTGCTGCTTAGCCATTTCATCTATTACATACCTATCATAATGTTTATGTTGCTTACCAAGTTTTAGAAGTTGGATCTTAAGCATTTGGTAGTCGAATTCAATTTTTTTCCCTTATAGCCATTTTTAAATATCACCTTTTTTAGACGTCGTTGTAGGTATTTTTTCCAGCTTTCTCGAATAATAATGCAGTTATCTTCTAATTTTGGTAGGGTGTTTGAAAACCACTCTTTGAACGATTGTCCACACATTTCTTCATGGTAGTCACCGGATTTTTCAACTCAAATACATAAAGTGTATTAGAGACAAAGCCTTCTTCACTTCCAATATTGCATATAATGTGCTGTTTTTAGGCATATACTTGATGGGTTTTTAAAACCAGTTAAAAGTTCATCCAAAAAGGCTTGTCTGGATGACAAAATATCAAAACATACTTTTGATTTGGTGTGGCCTGCGTTAATCCAAGTCTCATCAAGATAATATATTTTTTGCTTTTCTTCTCTGTACCGTTTTATTTTTTGTGGCACAGGACGAAACAATTTCATTTTTGTCTAAAAGCAAACTATTTTATCCTCGAGTTTTAAATTTCAAATCAAGGGTTTTGAAAAGTTTGTAAAATGTAGCTCGCTTAAAAGTAGACAAATATGGATCATCGTTGACTTCTTATAAATCCTTATCGATTGTTGGAAGTTAATTTCTAAAGAATTGATGTACTTTGCGCCTTATTGCATTTTTATCAAAATCATCCACAGAGCCACTAATTTGTTTATAACGTAGCTTTCTTTTTGGTTCAGAAAATTTATGAATCTGCCTTCATAACATTAAAAACGGTTTTAGCGCACATCCCTGTTTTATCGGCAACTCTCCTTTCAACATCATGTACCAACATATCAGGGTTCTATAAAATTTAATACTTATAAATATTAAGAACCATTTCTTTAGTACGGATGACCAAATGTCCCTTTTTCGGTCGCTTTTTAGAAGGAGTAAAAACATTTTTCTGGACTTTATCTGCTGTATCTGTGGAAGACGTAGTGTCACGCAGCAGTTACAAAATATAGTCCATTAAATGTCCATAAAATAGAGTAAAAAATGTTCAAACTAACACAATATATGTATATCTAAACTATAATATAATGAATTATAATCAATCAAACATACAAAATGTCCAAACTAACCAACACAGTGAATGCTACCAAAACGCCGTTTATAATTATCCAAATTGAACTGAATTCGACTCTAAAAAAATATTTGCGCGTCGTCTACATGACTAACGACCGATTAACCAGTAGAAGCGCAAAAAAATGTCACGTTAGCTGTTGCTGGATGGGAGTGATTGTTTTGACGCGGCGTAAATGAAATCTGAATAGACTTTAGTCATGTTAGGTTGGAAGTGGCAACAGGGATTACACTGGCATGGAATTTACCTGTTATCTCTGATATTTACGTTGTTTATTATAAGCGCACAACGGCTTACACGTTTATTCATTGATAAAAAAAAGTTGTATCTGCGTAAATTCTTCACTTTATCCCCTTTCTTACTTCTCACCTTCCGTCTCCTCGCCGCGTCCCTACAAATAGATTGTATTTACTGTCGAATTAATCTTGGAATCGTGAATATTATATTTTATCAATGAATGGTTATATCTCTGTTATCTCTGCATGCTACCTACGCGCGTACGCGAAGTAGAAGCGCTTGTTCATTCTTGTTTCAGACATTCATAACGCCAGCGAAGGAACTAGTATAGAGTTGCCATAATAGTTTAAGTACTGACCGGAACCTGATGAGAAAATTAAAAAATATTGGCTGCCAATTTAACTTTATAAATTCAATTTCCATAGCAAATAAATTTTATTAATCAAACATGAAATTAAAGAGTAAAGGAAGAGGCATATTAGTCCCTCATCTGACTGCAAAAAGTGGCATATCGTATTTTTTTGCTTACTATTTTTTGTAGTTGGGTACAGGGAGGAAGTAAACAACATATACTACTACTCCCGGTGGTGGGAGCTGTCATGTAATCTGTCAAATTCAAAATGTGTGCACATAGGGTTGCCAGATTTACAAAAGGGAAAAGCATGGCAATGATGACGACATGGGATCAGATGAAAAAGCAGATATTTATATAAAAATAGGTCTTTTTTGTAGAGATCTAAAAATATATTTTTTTATTGTTCCGTCGCTAATAACATTTTAAATTCCCAGGAAATCCCCAAACAAATCTCAATACAAAATATTGAAAATTATTTTTGAAACCTCAAAGCAAAAAAAAATTTAATGGAAAATTGAAAAAATTCTGCCCGCGGCTAAATTCAAACCCACCTTTATTTTATAAAACAGATCCTCTAAAAGTCATAAATTCATTATTTATAGGTTTTGATTTAAAAAACGTGGTAGTTGAGTAAAAATCGTGGCACTTGGTTACTAAGGCGTGCCACGTGGCAGCAAGTTAAAAAAGCGTGGCAATTACGCCTAAATCATGGCATCTGGCAATCCCATGTGCACACTGTTTCCATTCACTATGAAACCACATTACATTACTTTTAATTCAAATTTAAGCTAGTATTGAATCAAATCATGGAGGGTGGCAGTTTTTCCGATGAGTGGTATGAAGAAATGGAATATGCAGCAATTTTATTAAGTTTAGAAGAAAATGAAACCATTTGGGAATCAGAACACATCGAATCGCATCGCGTGTGGTGGCATGAAATAACCTCAGAATATTATGCACACAATATGTAAACAGTGGCAGCTCATGGGCACTAGTGGCAGTGGGGCACACACTGGAAAGGAATCCCGGGATTCGTTTTTCCCTTAGGAAAACAAGTTCTCCGCTTAATGAAAATTAAATATATTTCAAAACAATCATTTGGGGCAATAACGATTTCTGAATGTCATTACAGGGAGCTAAATGTGACCACTCAAAATGCATTTAACTATGTATGTGGCTATTTAATCAAAAAATCATTACATATCCACTCTTGCGAAATTTGGGTAAATTTCTCAGAAGAATGCAATTTACTTAACAATTCTAACTTGTTAACGCATTTTAAAGCATACGACTCTAAAGAAAAGGTGTTTGGCAATTTAAAATCTCCCAGCGAAAAATTTCTCTTTTATATTTTCAATTTAGAAAAAATATATCTCTATTTGATAGTTTGTCAACTAAGCCTGGAATTTCCAACGCATACCTTTTTGAGATGAGCAAAATAGAATTTGGTCATCCTTGCCAACAATTTGCGAAAATGTACACCATTAAATTATTTATAAGACTCAGAATTTTTTATACTCTTAAATATGCAAACAGAGATTTGAAATCCTCGAAAAAGTCAGACAAAACCAAAAGAAAAATAAAAATTTTGTCCCATTTATAAATAATTTTTTCGTTATATTTTTGACTGTTTTATAAAAAAAAGTTATTTTTCTTTGTAGTTTTATTTCTTAACTATTCCAATGGTCCAACTAACGTTTTTTCGTAATCACAATAAATAAATTATTATCATGGTCCAACAAACGCGCACCTTAAGCCTCTGCGTACATTCATATCTGGTCTAGGTAATTTGTGCCCATGGGTACAGCACGTCACGATAATAAGAAATAATGAAAATTATTTTTGAAACCTCCAAGGCAAAAACAAATTTAATGAAAAATTGAAAAAATTCTGCCCGCGCCTGGATTCAAACCCACCTACTTCCGTTCTACGCACAGTCGCTCTTCCAATTAAGAGATCGCTGACTTAATCACAAATTTCCTATTTGTCAATATTAATATAAGATTTCGAATTTAACCTAGCGTCTCAGATAATTTTCAATTCTACAACAAACTACTATACAGAAATTTAATATTCATCTTGATAATTTGGAAATCTCTGACTAAGTCAGCGATAGCTTAATTGAAAGAGCTACAGTGTTTAGAACAAGAGTAGGTTGGTTCGACTCCCCCGTGGGCAGAAGTTTTTCAATTTTTGATTAAATTTAAATTTTCTCTTTAAATAAAAAAAATATTTACTTTTTTAGTGATGAATCATATGTTCATATAATGGAGAATTTCGTTGACCTAGAAGATAAAGAATACAGAAAATCAAAACAATCTAGTATTTTATTATCGGAAGAAACCGAAATGGACCAAATATTAGATAGAGAAAGTTTTGAAAGTGGACAAATCTCGATGGACACTTATTTGACCTATTTTAGATCTGGAGGAAACTTTTTAGCCATCACATTTATGTGTATTGTCTTTGTTGGGAACCAACTGGCAGCTAATGGAGGAGAATATTTTCTGACATACTGGTTAATATTCATCAATTTAATAATTTAGATTGTTCTTAATTGTTCTACATAGACATACAAATTTATTTATCACATGTTTAGCCCTAATAAAATGGGTATAGTTCAATATTTTATCATCATCGGTGAAAATAGGTTTTTGTCTTTCATTATGTCAGTTTTTGACGCAAAATACAAAATGGAAACGTAGGTATTTTTTTCCTTGGGAATGTTTTGTTTCTCTTCAAATAACGGTTTATTATATTCATTACCTCGCTTGCCTGATAGAATAAATAGCCTATAAAGACATAAAAACAATAATTGTTCAATTAATTCATTTATTTTAGGGTCAATTTGGAGCAAAACTATACCACTCAAATATTGAATAATGAAAGTAACGTAGAAGAAATAGATAGAAATACAATTATTTATTACTATACATTTATAACTCTTGGAATGATAGTATTTTCAATAGTTAAATCAGTTTATTTTATGACTTATTTAACCGTATCTTCAAGAAATTTACACGACATGATCTACTCAAGAATACAATATGCAACTATGCGATTTTATGATACCAATCCTTCGGGAAGAATTTTAAATAGGTTTTCCAAAGATTTGGGTACAGTTGATGAGTATATTCCATCTGTTCTTTTAGATGTGTTCGAGGTAGGTCTTAACAAACAAATTAATAGGCAATTTAGATTTTCAATTAGTTTCCATGGTAACTTTTTAGTGGAAAGTGATTAAAAAGAAAATTGTTCGACACTTTATTAGTTTTGTTTTTCTTACAAATTTTCATAATTATTATCTTCGTTAAAAAATAACTTACATTTCTCGGTGTTGAAGAAACTTTAACATATTTTTGAATTAAAACGTTTGGCTGAGAACGTCCCTGGCATTTATAGAAATTACTCGAAAGCGTTGCGTCACTCATAGCCAGAGGCTGGTAACTCAAATGGACAAACATGAGGAAGGTAATTTAGTACCACTCCAATTAACGGGATGGCGCTCATATCGAAATGTCATGTCAGTTGTCAGCTCGTCGATACTTCAATTAGAAAAATTAAAATGGCTGTTGAAGGTGTATTGGATTTTGATTCATCTAGATTTGTTTTTCAACACCTTCCAATTTTAAGCATGTTTTCAAATTTCAGCAACGAACAATTAGGCATTCTAACGACCTGTCAAACTGCTGACAAGTGGGAACTGACATTTATATATGGCAACCCTGTGAGCCTGTTGTCATCTCAGATAAATAAATAATAATAGATAACTGAATGTCAAAAATTTACATTGCGTTTGTTTGAAAGCAACATATACAAGCCAGTTGTTAGGAGGGGAAGAGCGGGGTTTGTTAGTTTTATTATCCAGTAGCGTATCAAATAAATGTCAATAAAAATGCTTTTGATTTATATTATAGTTTTGAGATATTTCAATGGATCAATGTTTCTAATATGAGATGTTTATAGAAAACCGTCAAAAATTAATTTTTCAGTCGACCAATAGGTACATATATTTTTTAAATTAAAAACATACATTATTTTTATACACAAATAATTTGAATAAACGTTGCAATGATAGGTTTTATAAATTCTAAATTTTTGTACTAATATTTTTTAATAATATCGATTCTTTTGTAAATTATTTTTATTGATTTGTTATGAATACCGCTTATATATGTAATAAAAAATAGAATAAAGTATCTGTTTATTGTTAGTCCCTTTTAAATTAATTAAATTTTGTGCACAAAATATTTATGGGTTTTAATAATTGGGAAAGTAGGGTTAAAAAAACAATTGTAATTCATTTTATTAAATAGTTGGGTTAGATCTGGAAAACAAAACAAAGGCAAATGTTATAATAACAGTTTAGAATAAAGCGATACTTATGTAATAAATTATAAGTTCATAATTACCGTTTTAAAATATTGCCAAGGTTTTCTAATACACAATATTTTGAATAATGAAACTTAATTTCGATGAATTCTTGTCAGTTAGAAATATAACAACGTTAAGCAATTTTTTAGAGACGTTGTGTTATTTTACTCATTTGGTTTAATAACAATAATGGATAATGGGGTGATTATAATAATAATAATTTAGTTGCCAATAATTTTCCTTTCACATAATTTATAAATCAAATAATTATGTGACAGGTACCTAGATAACTAAAACTAATATTCATTAACTACAGATAAATGAAACCCAACAATTTTCCTACCACACAATTTACAAATTAAATTAATTATGAGACGTGATAAGTAAATATAATATAAATTCACTTGAGATGTTGTTGGGAATGGGGTGTTAATACACTGCGACCTAAAAGATTTATTGTGCCCCTTCTGTCGCTAATGCACCAAGGAAATGTCTCAATGCCTATAACGACCCTTCCAATCCTATCTTCCCAAGGAAGTGTAGGATTTGGAGTGGCTTCGTGTTAGGTAAATCTATCTCTCTTTTCTATTTGATATCCTCCTACTAGGTATAGTGCCCTTGGATTCTGGAGTACTACACATTCAGTTAGAATGTGAATGGAGGTTTCGTCCTCCTCCTCATAGAATCTGCACTCACTATCCTCTACTACTCTCGGTTTACTAAGGTGTCCTTTAAGTCGATAATGCCCGGTAAGGATCCCTGTTACAATACGAAGCCTGTTCTTGCTCAGGCAGATGCAGGCTGTGATGTATGCCTTATTTATACACTACTCAATAAAACAACACCTTGTTGTAAGCTTTTATTCTCTAGTATTCTGATAAACACAGTAATTCAGTAATGGTTATAATACAAGACAAAACTCAAGATGAAATACGAACTTGTAATACGAGACAATGCACATCTGACTCTTATTTAGTACTCGTGGCGGCATCTACGCACGATCTATAATCCTACGGGGTCACAGACTACAGATGACTGTGATATAAGGAGAAACACTTATATTAAGCTGAAACATAGATGGCGTCACGGGTACTAACATTACCATTTATAAATGGGTATACAGATCTCACACAGGCTTCCGATGTTTCCTGCCATGGTTTCCTGGTTATATTTACCCAGAAGTATCTTAGCGTGTCTTATCCTTAAGAGATTGATCCAATTATCGGTTCTTATACTGCCCAATTATTTTTTAATCTCGTCGTGGACGTTTGAACGAGAAAAGTCAGTAAATGTGACCATCGCCTTTCAAGGGGATGCTTTAGATATTCTTCAGACTGTACCTGTGGAAAAAACGGATGACTTTGAAAGACTTAAAGGATCGTAAGCAGAATCGAGACAAGTCTCCAAGAATACGAATTAGATATTTCCAGGATGATGCGATACTGGCAACCATTTTTCTACTACACAATTTACAAATTAAATTAATTATGTGACGTGTAACTATATAATAAGTAAATATAATATACATTCACTTGAGATAAATGAAACCTATTTTAATTTAGACAATAAGAAAACATATCATAATAATTACATATATTATTGTGTTATTAAAAAAACATGAATAGGTAATTAAAAAATTACAAAATTTATTGGTTCCCGTACTAATACTTAGAATATTCAAATTAATTAAACAAAGACAAAAAAACATTTTTAATATTTATAGTTTTTGTTCAAATACTCACTTAGTTTCAGATGCAGAAGGTTTAGAATGTGACATAGTTTCCAGTTGAGGAACAGCTTCAGGATGTGAGTAAAATAAGGGCATTACTCCTTTCATTAAAAACATTTTTCCTCCTGGAGACTTAGCAAAGGCAGAAATGTCTTGAACAAATTCTACTGAATACACTCTTCATCCTCACGTACACCCAAACTCTTCATTCACATTTATCTAGTTTGAGGATCTTTTGGAAACCTAAATAGGTATAAATAGTGTTTTCTTATTCATATAGGTAGGTATATAGGATTTCATGTAATACAGAATGCAACATAGTATACTTTAAAATAACTGGTGCTCTAACAATATATTTTGTCATTAAAATGAAGCAATACTAAGATTTTATAACTAAAGTAAATGCCACTAGAGCCTTCTTAAATGTACAGTGTACATAACAATATAACTTTAATTTAAAGATAGCCTATTAATAAATTCAAAGTTATTAAACACAGGCACAATAAAATAATTCGAAATTCGACGTTGAATGTTATTTTAAACTTTAAAATAAATTGTTGTTGTTTAAACCTTATTTTGAATTATGATACCCCTCAAAAAAGTGTGATGCAACGGTAATGGTTTTTATTTACTTACCTATGAAACGTTATCGAACTGAACTTGAGATACTTTCTCGAGCACACAATACAATTCACTGGCATTTTTAAGCAATTAAATGCACTAAAATAACTTAAACCACAAAAATTTTTCAATTAAAGTACGAAATAAACTCAAAATGAACCACAAAATAACCATAAAATAACTAACCTAACTAACGTAGTCCTGTCAATTTTTTGCTAACCAATCAGGTATGTAACCAAAATAGCGAATATCCAATCAAGTCGTGTAACCACTGCGGTATAGTGAGAGGAGATGCTGGTTACAAATATTGCATGATAGGGCTGTATCTATTATTTATTTATTTATCTGAGGTTGTCATTGATAGGGTCAATGATACATATATAGTTATATAGATTGCTCAAAGCGGGTCGTTTACGAGCAGCCATATTGCCTCGCAAGTGTTCATTAATCAGAATAGAGATTTTGCAAAAATGTGTTTACAAACCAATATTTAGCCTTTGAATATAGTAAAAAAATATTTACCTACATTTTTACTTCAAGTCATAAGTTTATGTTTATTTTGAAAAATATGAATTATCAATCTATATAACTATCTATTTCGTTGACCTTCTCAAATCACCAGGCCTACAGGGTTGCCATAATTTTGCCATATCATAACCTGTCAATCCCCACTGGTAGCCATTTTGTTAAGAATGCCTAATAAAGAACTCCCAGATATTGGTATTGATGCAATTTATACCCCATTAAATATGCGGTCGTCATAGTAAGGATAACTAAATAATTTGTAATAAGTGTCTTAAGAAAAATGCATCTTGCACTGGCACTGGCATTAATGGTAAGTAATATTTACAAACTTGTTTTTGATTCAGTGTTAAAATAATTGGTTTGTTATTTAAATTTCTTTTTGTTTTCAGTTTTTAAATGATCATTGTTATAAAGAAAATGTTGCCTCTCCAAAATACCCTGTCGAACGATGAAATATTTGAGCCTCAGCTATCAATATCAAAAACTGATTCAATGCCATTGACATCAAATAAGAAAACACCCCAAAATCTTTAAGGGTCCAAACGTGTGTAAGTTTAATTTAAGCTCGAAAGTTAAATTCATTTATCTAAGTGCCCAGATGATGAATAAGAATTTGATAACTTTAAGTGCTGTACAAATAAATCAATAGAACAATTATTATCCGATGAAGAAATGCTCCTCAACCTAACTAGTCGACTCAATAAGCGTATGGCAAATTTTATCCACATTCAAATTCGTCTTGATAGTCAGACAACAAAAGGATGATGCTTCAACTTCAATTTTTTCAACTTATTTGCCACTCCAAGTCGCAAAACTTTTATATAGGTCTTGAGCACTTATATATGCCGATTTTGTTAGAGAAAACATTTTTGGTAGGTTTGTTTTATAAATATTTAATTATTTAAATGATGTAA